AACAGCACATGTTGTTATTGGATATTTATTTTACATTTTTATAGATTCATGATTGTGCAAGGGTTTTCGATTTATCCTCCAATGCCTACATTTTTATTTTCTACATTTCCTGTAGTTATTTTTTCAAAATTAATTTTTTATTGCATATATCACGAGACGACACCAGTCTTACATCCTCACTCACCAACTCACCAACACACTCACTCACCCACCCAGCCACCCACTCATTCACTTACCAACCCACTCACCAACCCACCCACCCCACTCACCCACCCACTCACTCACCAACCCACCCCACTCATCCACTCACCAACCCACTCACTCGCCAACACACCCCACTCACTCACTAACCAACCCACTCACCCACCCAGCCACTCACTCACCCACTCACTCACCCACTCACCAACCCACTCACCCACTCACTCACCAACACACTCACCAACCCACTCACCCACTCACCAACACACCCACTCACCCACCCACTCACCAATCCACTCACTCGCTTACCAACCCACTCACTCTCCAACCCACTCACTCACCCACCCAGCCACTCACTCACCCACTCACTCACCCACTCACCAACCCACTCACCCACTCACTCACTTACCAACCCACTCACCAACCCACTCACCCACTCACCAACACACCCACTCACCAACCCACCCACTCACCAATCCACTCACTCACCCACTCACCAACCCACTCATCAACACACCCACTCACCAACCCACTCACTCTCTTACCAACCCACTCACTCACTCTCCAACCCACTCACTCATTACCAACCCACTCACCAACACACCCACTCACCAACCCACTCACTCGCTTACCAACCCACTCACTCACTCTCCAAACCACTCACTCATTACCAACCCACTCACCAACCCACCCCACTCACCCACTCACCAACCCACTCACTCGCCAACCCACTACTCACCAACCCACTCACTCACCAACACACCCACTCACCAACCCACCTAACTCACCCACTCACCAACCCACTCACTCACCCACCCAGCCACTCACTCACCAACCCACTCACCCACTCACTCTCCAACCCACTCACTCACTTACCAACCCACTCACCAACCCACTCACCAACACACCCACTCACCCACCCACTCACCAATCCACTCACTCACCCACTCACCAACCCACTCACTCACCAACACACCCACTCTCCAACCCACTCACTCACTTACCAACCCACTCACCAACCCAGCCACTCACCCACTCGCTAACTCACCCGCCACCACACTCACCCACTCACTCTCCAACCCACTCACTCGCCAACACACTCACTCACCAACCCACTCACCAACCCAGCCACTCACCCACTTGCCAACCCACTCACTCGCTCTCCAACCCACTCACTCAATCTCCAAACCGCTCACCCACTTACCAAACCAGCCACTCACCAACTCACCTACTCACCCACTCACAAACCCACCCACTCACTCACCCAATCTCCAACCCACCCACTCACTCACCCACTCTCCAACCCACTCACCCACTCACCCACTCTCCAACCTACTCACCCACTTACCAACCCACTCACCAACCCAGCCACTCACCCACTCACCAACCCACTCACCCACTTACCAACCTACTCACTCACCAACCCACCCCCACTCACCAACCCACTCGCTCACTAAGCCACTTACCCACTTACCAACTCACTCACCAACTCACCCACTCACCAACCCACTCTCTCACCAACCCACTCACCAACCTACTCACCAACCCACTCACTCACTCTCCAAACCACTCACTCATTACCAACCCACTCACCAACCCACCCCACTCACCCACTCACCAACCCACTCACTCGCCAACCCACTACTCACCAACCCACTCACTCACCAACACACCCACTCACCAACCCACCTAACTCACCCACTCACCAACCCACTCACTCACCCACCCAGCCACTCACTCACCAACCCACTCACCCACTCACTCTCCAACCCACTCACTCACTTACCAACCCACTCACCAACCCACTCACCAACACACCCACTCACCCACCCACTCACCAATCCACTCACTCACCCACTCACCAACCCACTCACTCACCAACACACCCACTCTCCAACCCACTCACTCACTTACCAACCCACTCACCAACCCAGCCACTCACCCACTCGCTAACTCACCCTCCACCACACTCACCCACTCACTCTCCAACCCACTCACTCGCCAACACACTCACTCACCAACCCACTCACCAACCCAGCCACTCACCCACTTGCCAACCCACTCACTCGCTCTCCAACCCACTCACTCAATCTCCAAACCGCTCACCCACTTACCAAACCAGCCACTCACCAACTCACCTACTCACCCACTCACAAACCCACCCACTCACTCACCCAATCTCCAACCCACCCACTCACTCACCCACTCTCCAACCCACTCACCCACTCACCCACTCTCCAACCTACTCACCCACTTACCAACCCACTCACCAACCCAGCCACTCACCCACTCACCAACCCACTCACCCACTTACCAACCTACTCACTCACCAACCCACCCCCACTCACCAACCCACTCGCTCACTAAGCCACTTACCCACTTACCAACTCACTCACCAACTCACCCACTCACCAACCCACTCTCTCACCAACCCACTCACCAACCTACTCACCTACCCACCCACTCACTCACCAACCTACTTACCCACTTACCAACCCACTCACCAACTCACCCACTCACCAACCCACTCAATCGCCAAGTCAATCATCCACTCACCAACCCACTCACATTTACCAACCCACTCACTGACCCACTCACCAACCCACTAACTCACCAATCCACTCACTCACCAACCCACCGACTCACCCACTCACAAACCCACTCACTTACCCACTCACCAACCCACTCACCAACCCCCTCACTCGCCCATTCACTCACCCACTCACCAACCCACCCACACGCTCAACCAATGACTAACCCACCCACTCAATCCCACACCCAACCCACACACTCACCCACCCACTCCCTCACCAATACACCCACCCACCCACCAAATCCACACACTCACCCACCCACTCCTTCCCTCACCAACCCACCCACCCAATCCACACACTCACCCACCCACTCCCTCACCAACCCACCCACCCACCCAATCCACACACCCACCCAAAAGACAAACGTCCCCGCCATATAACCTTAACAGGCTGTTGGGGCAAGTGCTGTTAGTGAGCACCTATGAAGGCCGACACAGCACACGAGGGGGAAGGGGGTGGGGGATGACCAGATCCACCACGCACGACCGCCTTTGTTTCCCCAGTGCACCGAGCACTCACTTGAGGCTGAGTTGACCTAGGGGAGGCCCAGGCACCGGTGGTGGCCGTGGACGGGAATCGAACTCGGGCGTCTGCCGGGTTCGCAGGGCAACGTAGCGCTAACCACCTCCAACACCCCTCCCACATCAACCATCGTTCAATGCTAGATTTGAAGCTTCGGGGAGACGAAACGACATGTCTCTGACCGAATTCGCGGGCACAAATCAGACTTGAAACGCGGCAGAACGAATTATTCTGCCGTGGCTGACCACTGTTACAATGCTGTGGGTGATCACGATATCGTTTTCTCCGATACCAAGGTTCTCTGCAAACCCACGGGTTTCTATCAGAGATTTGTCCACAATTTACAAACACAAGACACAATTTCAACCGAGAGGATGGTTTCAAATTAAGCAATCATTGGAAAGATGTTCTAAATCGAACCAACATTAAACTAATTTTCAAAGGTACAGTAATTTTTTTTTCAAGTAGTGGTATCCCAAACTTTCACAGCTGCTTATTTCTGTCCACACCAACATTATGTAAACTCCCCCCCCTCCCGCGCCTGGTCCATCGTGGTCCATCATGTACCTCCTATGTACATCATGCTAATTTTTATGCTAATTCCTTTGTCAAGCGTTTTGTTTCCTCCCACACAGCTTAAAGGACGCGACCTGGGCTTGGCTGTTTTCACTCCAACGCTGTCCTCATGACAGCACGGTCCCTTCACTTGATGAAGGCCACTTGTGTTGTGGCCGAAACGTCGTGATTTTTGTTGTTTTATTTTTTACCTACGTGGTGACGTTACCGAATAGAACCAAAGAGTAACCATCGCTCACCAACAAAGTAGCGGTGACAACACCACGGCGCTTGTGCCAGGCTAGGTGCACTCCGAGGGCACGCAAAGTGTCGAAGGCTCGCTACTGCCAGGAGGTCATGGAACAGACCCAGGTGGGATGGGTTGACTGACTGAGGTGACTGGCCGAAGCACCACCTCACTCAACCGCTCCCACCCTCGCTCCACCACTCGACTCCACCCCAGCTCACTCCACCCCAACTCCACCCCAGCTCACTCCACCCCAACTCCACCCCCACTCCACTCCACCCCCACTCCTCCTCCACTCCTCCTCCACCCTGCACACTCACCCCACTCCAACAGACCACCTCCACTTCACCCCTACACCACTCCACTCTACCTCCCACTCCACCCCCACTCCACCCTCACTCCACCTCCACTCCACTTCACCCCTACACCACTCCACTCTACCTCCCACTCCACCCCCACTCCACCCCCACTCCACTCCACCCTCACTCCTCCTCCACCCTGCACACTCACCCCACTCCAACACTCCACCTCCACTTCACCCCTACACCACTCCACTCTACCTCCCACTCCACCTCAACTCCACCCTCACTCCACCCCCACTCCACCCCCACTCCTCCTCCACCCTGCACACTCACCCCACTCCAACACTCCACTCAACCTCTCACTCCATCTCCACTCCACCCCCACTCCTCCTCCACCCTGCACACTCACCCCACTCACACACTCCACCTCCACTCCACTCCTACTGCACCCTCTCTCTACCCCACCTCCACTCCAGCCCGATCACCCACCACCACCACCACTCTGCACCTTGACCGAACCGCCCGTCCCACACCACGCTCACCACCACCACCGCCACCGTCACCACCGCCACCACAACCAGCAAACCAAACCACCATGGTCCCCGTCCCGCTCCCCCCTTTCACTCCCCTCTAGGAGCCCAGGTTGAGCACCATCACCGAGTCGTCGTTACGGTTGATGCCAAGCGCCGGGTAGAGAGGCTCCGTGAATCTGTGCTGAAACGCGTGCAGCCCGCTCCCCCCTTTCACTCCCCTCTAGGAGCCCAGGTTGAGCACCATCAGCGAGTCGTCGTTACGGTTGATGCCCAGCGCCGGGTAGAGAGGCTCCGTGAATCTGTGCTGAAACGCGTGCAGCCCGCTCCCCCTTTCACTCCCCTCTAGGAGCCCAGGTTGAGCACCATCACCGAGTCGTCGTTACGGTTGATGCCAAGCGCCGGGTAGAGAGGCTCCGTGAATCTGTGCTGAAACGCGTGCAGCCCGCTTCCCCCTTTCACTCCCCTCTAGGAGCCCAGGTTGAGCACCATCACCGAGTCGTCGTTACGGTTGATGCCAAGCGCCGGGTAGAGAGGCTCCGTGAAGCTGTGCTGAAACGCGTGCAGCAGCTCCATGCAGTCGGCGTCGTAGAAAGCCAGGATCCCCGCGTCCCAGTCCAGGAACACCCCCACGGTCCTGAGGTTCCGATTGGCCCTCGCCCCGCCGCCGGGCACCCTGGCGCCGTTGTGACGCGCCACGCAGGCCTCCCGGTCCTTCTCCAGGCACCACGAGACGGCGGGGGCCGCTCCGAGGCCGCAGGAGTCGCTCGGCCCCTTCCTCGGCGCGCTGCCGTAGGCGACCCCGACGGTGCACCACCGGGCCCACTCCACCTTGACCTCCCAGTAGCGGCGGCCCGAGAATTGGCTCTGGGCGGCGAGGACCTGCGGGCAGCTGTCGAAACGCTCCGCGTGGGGCGCCAGCTGCTGCGGGTAGGCGACGCGCTTGGCCGAGCGGAGGTCGCGCGAGAGCTGGAGGCGAGGCGACGCCGAGTTGGGGTTCAGGGTGGGGGAGAAGCCGTCTGTTGGGGGGTGGGGGGGGAGGGGTGACAGCGGTGATGACGGTGGTTGGGGATCGCCGTCGTGACGATGGTGGTGACGGTGGTGGTGACGATGGTGGTGATGGTGGTGATGATGGTGGTGGTGATGGTGGTGATGATGGTGGTGATGATCGTGATGATGGTGGTGACGAAGGTGGTGATGATGGTGGTGACGATGGTAGTGATGATGGTGGTGATGATGATGGTGGTGACGGTGGTGGTGACGGTGGTGGTGATGATGATGGTGACGATGGTGGTGATGGTGGTGGTGACGGTGGTGGTGACGATGGTGGTGATGGTGACGATGGTGGTGACGATGGTGGTGATGATGGTGGTAACGATGGTGGTGATGATGGTGATGATGGTGTTGATGGTGGTGACGATGGTGGTGGTGATGGTGACGATGGTGATGATGGTGGTGGTGACGATGGTGGTGACGATGGTGGTGGTGGTGATGATGGTGACGATGGTGATGATGGTGGTGACGATGGTGGTGACAATGGTGATGGCGATGGTGGTGATGGTGACGATGGTGGTGGTGATGATGGTGGTGATGATGGTGATGATGGTGGTGACGATGGTGATGGCGATGGTGATGACGATGGTGGTGACGATGGTGGTGACGATGGTGGCAATGGTGGTGACGATGGTGGTGATGATGGTGGTGACGATGGTAGTGATAATGGTGACGATGGTGGTGATGGTGACGATGGTGGTGATGGTGACGATGGTGGTGACGATGGTGGTGATGGTGGTGACGATAGTGATGACGATGGTGACGATGGTGGTGATGGTGACGATGGTGGTGATGATGGTGGTGATGATGGTGATGATGGTGGTGACGATGGTGATGGCGATGGTGATGACGATGGTGGTGGTGATGGTGGTGGTGATGGTGACGATGGTGGTGACGATGGTGGTGATGGTGGTGACGATAGTGATGACGATGGTGACGATGGTGGTGATGGTGACGATGGTGGTGATGATGGTGGTGATGATGGTGATGATGGTGGTGACGATGGTGATGGCGATGGTGATGACGATGGTGGTGATGATGGTGACGATGGTGGTGATGATGGTGACGATGGTGGTGATGGTGGTGGTGATGGTGGTGGTGATGATGGTGGTGATGATGGTGACGATGGTGGTGATGATGGTGACGATGGTGGTGATGATGGTGACGATGGTGGTGACGATGGTGACGATGGTGGTGACGATGGTGGTGACGATGGTGGTGATGATGGTGACGATGGTGATGGCGATGGTGGTGACGATGGTGGTGATGATGGTGGTGACGATGGTGGTGATGATGGTTACGATGGTGGTGATGGTGGTGGTGATGGTGGTGGTGATGGTGACGATGGTGGTGATGGTGACGATGGTGGTGATGATGGTGGTGATGATGGTGGTGATGATGGTGGTGACGATGGTGGTGACGATGGTGGTGATGATGGTGGTGATGGTGGTGATGATGGTGACGATGGTGGTGATGATGGTGACGATGGTGGTGACGATGATGGTGGTGGTGATGGTGGTGGTGATGGTGACGATGGTGGTGATGGTGACGATGGTGGTGACGATGGTGGTGATGATGGTGACGATGGTGATGATGATGGTGGTGATGGTGGTGGTGATTGTGGTGACGATGGTGGTGACGATGGTGGTGACAATGGTGGCGGTGGTTAGGACGGTGGCACGTGGGGTAAAGAGCAGGCAGCGGATGCACTCTACGTTGGCAATGGCGTCGTAATTAACACAATTATCGTCGTGAACATCATTATCATCTTCACTTAAAGCTTTCGTGACCGCAGGGATTCATATTCTTGGTTCTTGCGGTAAAGTCACCACCGCGTAGAAGGGAAACAATAAAAAAAATAAAAAAATATAAAACAATACAATTCTCAACCTGATGATGATTGCCTGTGTTGCAGTCGAAACGCCGCGGCAATTTTATTGCTTCACATTTTTATCGTTTCATTGTTTCCCTTCTACGTGGGGACCCTAGCGAAAGAACCAAGAACATCGTTATCATCGTTCGCCATCGTCATCGTCATCGTCATCGCGATAAACGTCGTCGATGACGTCGCCGCCGTCGTCGCCGTCAACTCACAGTTCATAATGAGGTCGTTCCTGCTGGGGGGTTTGGCAACATCGAAGCCGGATGCGACCCCCTGCGGCTGCTCCGGCTGCGGCTTCGCCGGCACCGGGAGTCGCGGTCGCTGGTTCCGGTTCTGGTTCTGCCCGACCGCGACTCTGGGCAGCAGCGGCGGCGGCGGCGACGGCTCGGAGGGCCCCAGCGGAATCACGTAGTCCTCGTCGGGCGCCGCTGCGGGCCGCTGAGGCGGCAGCGGCGGCTGCGGCTCGCGGGGAACCATTCTGGGCGGCCTCCCGTCCGACGCCGGGGCCTCGCCTGGCATTGGAGGCGCGGCCGGGAAGGCCCTCTGGTGCTGCATCGGGGCTCGGGGACCGGGCGGCGACGATGGCGGTGGAGCCGCTGCCGGGCGCGTGGACGGAGGGCCAGGGTTCAGCATCAGCTGGTTGAGTTTTTCTCTGACCGCCGAAGAAGAGGAGGAGAAGGAGGAGGAGGAGGAGGAGGGGGGGCGATGTTGCTGCTGCTGCTGCGAGGCCGCTCCTGAGGCCATCGGCGGCCCAGCCGCCACGCAAGGTCGCGACGAAGGGGAGGAAGCTCTTGAAGCACCAGCAGCAGCAGCAGAAGCAGCAGCAGCAGAGGAGGAGGAGAAAGAAGCAAAATGAGCAGCCATAGGAGGAGCGGACGCAGCAGTCGCGCGAGATGCCCCGCAGGAGGCGAGCATCTCGTCCAGACGCCGCTCCAGCGGCACCACCGTCACCAGCGAGAGGCTCGGGCCCTGCGGGGGATCCATGGGCGTGGCCACGAACTCCGCGATGCTGCAGGGAGACACGCGGGCGGAGGAGGTTGTGGCGGGGGGGGGGGGGTTGGTGGAGGAGCGGGGTAAAGTGGGGGGGGTGTGGGGGGGGTGGGTGGGGGGTCATTGGGGGGTGGGGCTTCAACTGGATGGTGTGGGTTGAGGATCGAGCGATGTTGATTCTGTTGAACGCAAGCGATGGTGGTCGTTGGTGGCTTTCGCGATGAAAAATTATAAGCCAGATGAAGAAATTTTTTTTTCGTTTTTTTTTCAAAGGTTTTGCTTAACTTGATTCATCTTCTTTGGTTCTTTCGGTAAAGTCACCGCCACGTAGAATGAGAATAAAATGATAAATTGATAAAAAATAAAAATAACGCGATAAAATTCTCACGACGTTTCGGCCACAACACAAGCGGCCTTCATCAGGTGAAGGGGACGAGACTGTCTGGAGGACAGCGCTGGAGCTTGATTCGTCTGTTTTGTCGTGGGTCAAATCTTGTAATCAGAATTCCGCCCACTTCCCGTTGTCCAATCAATCCCGCATTTTGCACACGTACTCAGATCCTGGTGACAATTAATCAATTAATTCGCTACTTTAAAGCAATTTACATTTTGTATTGACGCCTTAACAGGTCCCTGCAGGGTGGGCTGGTAGGACAAGTCTCTGCGCTGTCTATTGCTGATTTTACACCCAACAGCACGAGATTTCACTTCGTTAAAGTATTGAAAGGGGACGGACGGACGGACACATTAATCTATTGCAGGCTGGTACACTCAGTTCACAACTTCCTTCCTACCAGTATAAAGGATGTCAGTGACAAGAGAGTGACTCTCAATGACGTCACTCACGTGGTTAAATAAAGGATGTCAGTGACAAGAGAGTGATTCTCAATGACGTCACTCACGTGGTTAGATAAAGGATGACAGTGACAAGAGAGTGACTCTCAATGACGTCACTCACGTGGTTAAATAAAGGATGTCAGTGACAAGAGAGTGATTCTCAATGACGTCACTCACGTGGTTAGATAAAGGATGACAGTGACAAGAGAGTGACTCTCAATGACGTCACTCACGTGGTCAAATAAAGGATGTCAGTGACAAGAGAGTGACTCTCATTGACGTCACTCACGTGGTTAAATAAAGGATGACAGTGACAAGAGAGTGACTCTCAATGACGTCACTCACGTGGTTAAATAAAGGATGACAGTCACACGAGATTTCACTTCGTTAAAGTACTGAAAGGGGACGGACGGACGGACACATTAATCTATTGCAGGCTGGTACACTCAGTTCACAACTTCCTTCCTACCAGTATAAAGGATGTCAGTGACAAGAGAGTGACTCTCAATGACGTCACTCACGTGGTTAAATAAAGGATGTCAGTGGCAAGAGAGTGACTCTCGATGACGTCACTCACGTGGTTGAATAAAGGATGACAGTGACAAGAGAGTGACTCTCAATGACGTCACTCACGTGGTTAAATAAAGGATGCCAGTGACAAGAGAGTGACTCTCAATGACGTCACTCACATAGTTAAATAAAGGATGTCAGCGACAAGAGAGTGACTCTCAATGACATCACTCACGTGGTTAAATAAGGATGTCAGTGACAGGAGAGTGACTCTCGATGACGTCACTCACGTGGTTAAATAAAGGATGTCAGTGACAAGAGAGTGACTCTCAATGACGTCACTCACGCGGTTAAATAAAGGTTGTCAGTGACAAGAGAGTGACTCAATGACGTCACTAACGTGGTTAAATAAAGGATGTCAGTGACAAGAGAGTGACTCTCAATGACGTCACTCACGTGGTTAAATAAAGGATGACAGTCACACGAGATTTCACTTCGTTAAAGTATTGAAAGGGGACGGACGGACAGACGGACGGACGGACACGTTAATCTATTGCAGGCTGGTACACTCAGTTCACAACTTCCTTCCTACCAGTATTATTTATGTATATATATTTATTTGCGTATAGGTCGAAAATGCCGCGGTCCATAAACTGTGGAATCGGCTCGCGAACAAAGCAGACCCCATCGGCATACTTTCTCGACCGCGAGTTAAACGAAGTTGCCAATGAGACCGTTGTGTTTTTAAACAGAAACTTTTTTTTTAAAGGAGTTCATTTAAGTTATAGGAATAGGTTTTTACCCTTTTAACTGGCACAAAAACTGACGCGTTTATTCAAGGCGTCATGTTTGCAATAACCACAACACAAGCAGTCAAAATGCAAACAAAAAAGAGAGACAACTCTGATAATGATATTGGCACTGTCCTTGAATTTGATTGGTCCATACCAGAGACGGCTTTTCTTAGAGCCCTTTAAGTCTCCACTGGTGTTGGACCAGAAGACGCCAAAAGGCGTACAACTCAAAAACAGCGCACTGTCAGAGTTATTGAGGGCTCGGGGTGAGCATTTACATTATGAGACCTCCTTTGCCAGTAACAAGATATAGTTAAAAGGGTAAAACCTATTCCTATATCTTGTTACTGGCAAAGGAGGTCTCATAATGAGTTCATTTAAATTATATTCTTGTTTTTTTTCAAATTTTCTTGCCGTGGTTTTCACACCTGATGACGATCGCTTGTGTTGCAGTCGAAACGTCGTGAGAATTTTATTGTTTTATATTTTTTATTCTTTTATTGCTTCCCTTGTAACGTGACTTAACCAAGAATATGAATCCCCGCAGTCACGAAAGCTTTAAATCAAGAGTTCATTTCAATCAATGACAATGCAGGTGTATTGTTATCAGAGCACGTTTTTTTTGGATGTTCACCGCAGGTACTGCGTGTGGTTAATGCAGCAATTTGATTCCTTGCGAAAGGTTTCTGGTGCTTGGTGTTTGAACATTCTAACACAATTCTAGATTTATATTTAAAGCTTTCGTGACTGCAAGGATTCACCTTCTTTGTGGTTCTTTCGGTAAAGTCACCACCACGCAGAATGAGAGTAAAATAATAAAATAAAACAATAAAATTCTCACGACGTTTCGGCCACAACACAAGTAGCCTTCTTCAGGTGAAGAAACAGAACTGTCTTCTGGACAGTCCTTCTGGACAGTCCTCTTTCTTCACCTGAGGACGGCCGCTTGTGTTGTGGCCGAAACGTCGGGAGAATTTGATTGTTTTATTTTATTATTTTATTCTCATTCTACGTGACTTTACCGAAAGAACCAAAGAAGGCAATTCTAGATTTGAAGCTTTCGTGACTGCAGGGATTCACACTCTTTGTGCTTTTTTTCGGTAAAGTCACGTGGGTAAAATACAATAAAATGAAACAACTAAATTGAATCGCGACGTTTCGGAAGCAACACAAGCTTCCGTCTTCAGGTGGAACACTCACAGCAGGAGTGTTCCAGAATCGAGAATCGCTGCTGTGAGTGTTCCACCTGAAGACGGAAGCTTGTGCTGCTTCCGAAACGTCGCGATTTAATTTAGTCGTTTCGTTTCATTTGACCTACGTGGCTTCGCCGAAAGAAAAAAAAACCACAAAGCGTATTCCGACACATCTCTTGCCGTTTGTTTTATTGCCAGGATGGGTAAAACCTCTTCTTATTTTTCATACTTTGATAACCGGCACAAAAGGTATCCCATGATAGATAGAGCTGCTCGCTCCGAGCTATGACAAATGTTCGTGCACGTGCGTCCGTCTTTGTGCCGTTCCGCCTTTTTGCGTTCTCCGGTCTGACACTGGTGGTTAGACAAGTGCCTCAAGAAGGCTGCTGCTGTCTCTGGTGTAGGGCCAATCGAGTTTCAAAGGCAATTCAACGTGCGGGTCTATTTGCCATTACAGCGAAACCTTGGATTTGCGGGTGACTCGGCCTGCGAGTGTTTTGCAAGGCGAGCAGAAGTTTGCAGCTCAATATCAATTTGATAAAACGAGCGAGGGTCTTGCAGCACGAGTAGTGTAACGTGCAGACACGCTTTGTACTGGCCGAGCGTCACGTGATCACACAGCTGGTATACGTTGTGCTTGGACGTACGAGTGCTTTGGATTACAAAACACGTTTCCGGCACGAATTATGCTCGCCCATCCAAGGTTTTTTATTTTATTTTTCACCGTGGATTATCAGGGTCTGTTTGCATGTTCACGAGTGCCGCGTGTGTGGTTAATGCTGCAACGTGATTCCCCGTGAAAGTTTTCCATGTTGCTGTTTGAACATTTGAATAACAACTTTCTGCTAATTCTAGAGTTGAAGCTTTCGTGACTGCAAGGAACCACGCTCCTTGGTTCTATTCGGTAAAGTCACGTGGGTAAAAAAAAATAAAACAACAAAATTCACGACGTTTCGGCCACAGCACAAGGGACCAGGCTGTCTTCGAGGACAGCGCTGGAGTGAACACGCTGTCCTCCAGACAGCCTGGTCCCTTCACCTGACGAGGGCCGCTTGTGGTGTGGCCGAAACGTCGTGATTATTTTTACCTACGTGACTTTACCTAATAGAACCAAAGAGTATAAACTCCTGCTAAATTTTGACTTGAAGCTTTCGCTACTGCACGAATTCATAGTCTACGGTCCTTTGGGTAAAGTCACGGAGATAGAAAAAAAGCATAACAATGAAATAATAAAAAATAACACCGACTTTATTTTTTAATTATTTTTATTATTTTATTGTTATTTTTATTTTTCCTATCTACGTGACCTCCGCTGTTTTATTTCCAGAAAGGGTTAAAAAAAAAAACCTTAATTCTTATTTTTCACACGGGGGTTTTATTGTTTTGGTCAGATTGTGTAAAGAATTACCGGCGGATCGTCGCGGCTTACTCGAATGCGTGAAAAAACGTTGCGCGGTTTTGTTGTTGTTGTTACCCTCCAAGGCACGCAGCAAACCGGTTTAGTGCTGAACTAGTGAACGAAATCGGCCACGTTCTGTTTACGATTGGCAGTGTCGGGTGGTGGTGGTGGCGGCGGTGGTGGCAGACGTTCGGCATTTGGCACAGATGGCATGCCACGTCAACCCCTTATCAGTGCCGACCTTACTACGGACCAATTCAGACCCTTCATGGGGAAGGTGTTTGGGTTAGTGTTGTGTTGTCACCCTCCACCACCTCGACACAGCCAGTAGTAAGGGTTGCCGTGTAAACCAAAGGCACCAATTAGTTACCAGTATAGTGTATAGTAGTGTAGTGTATAGTAGTGTATAGTAGTGTAGTGTATAGTGTAGTGTATAGTAGTGTATAGTGTAGTGTATAGTAGTGTAGTGTATAGTGTGGTGTAGTGTATAGTGTAGTGTATAGTAGTGTAGTGTATAGTCGTGTAGTGTATAGTGTGGTGTAGTGTATAGTGTAGTGTATAGTGTAGTGTATAGTGTAGTGTGTAGTGTAGTGTATAGTAGTGTAGTGTATAGTGTAGTGTATAGTGTAGTGTATAGTGTAGTGTAGAGTGTAGTGTGTAGTGTAGTGTATAGTAGTGTAGTGTATAGTAGTGCAGTGTATAGTAGTGTAGTGTATAGTAGTGTAGTGTATAGTGTAGTCTATAGTAGTGTAGTGTATAGTAGTGTATAGTGTAGTGTATAATAGTGTAGTGTATAGTAGTGTAGTGTATAGTGTAGTGTATAGTAGTGTAGTGTATAGTAGTGTAATGTAGTGTATAGTTGTGTATAGTATAGTGTATAGTAGTGTAGTGTATAGTAGTGTAGTGTATAGTGTAGTGTATAGTAGTGTAGTGTATAGTAGTGTAGTGTATAGTGTACTAGTATAGCACTAGTGTATAGTGTAGTGTATAGTAGTGTATAGTGTAGTGTATAGTAGTGTAGTGCATAGTAGTGTAGTGTATAGTAGTGTAGTGTATAGTGTAGTGTGTATAGTGTAGTGTATAGTAGTGTAGTGTATAATGTGTAGTGTACTAGCACAGCACTAGTGTATATCTTCTTTGGTTCTTTCGGTAAAGTCACGTAGAATGATAATAAAATAATAAATTGATAAAATAATATTATTTTATTATCATTCTACGTGACTTTACCGAAAGAACCAAAGAAGATGAATCATTGCAGTCACGAAAGCTTTAAACCACTAGTGTATAGTGTAGTGTATAGTGTAGTGTATAGTAGTGTAGTGTATAGTGTAGTGTATAGTAGTGTATAGTAGTATAGTGTATAGTAGTGTAGTGTATAGTGTAGTGTAGTGAATAGTAGTGTATAGTGTAGTGTATAGTAGTGTAGTGTATAGTAGTGTAGTGTATAGTAGTGTAGTGTATAGTAGTGTAGTGTATAGTGTAGTGTATAGTAGTGTATAGTGTAGTGTATAGTGTAGTGTATAGTAATGTAGTGTATAGTAGTGTAGTGTATAGTGTAGTGTATAGTGTAGTGTATAGTGTAGTGTATAGTAGTGTAGTGTATAGTCGTGTAGTGTATAGTAGTGTATAGTAGTGTAGTGTATAATGTAGTGTACAGTGTAGTGTATGGTGTAGTGTATAATATAGTAGTGTAGTATATAGCAGTATAGTGTAGTGTATAGTATAGTGTAGTGTATAGTGTAGTGTATAGTAGTGTAGTGTATAATGTAATGTATAGTAGTGTAGTGTATAGTGTAGTGTATAGGGTAGTATCTAGTGTAGTATACAGTAGTGTAGTAAACATGAACGCGACAACACGTGCCGCATGAACGCGACAGCACGTGCCACATGTGACAACACGTGCCGCATGAACGCGACAACACGTGCCACATGAACGCGACAACACGTGCCACATGTGACAACACGTGCCGCATGAACGCGACAACACGTGCCACACGTGACAACACGTGCCACATGAACGCGACAACACGTGCCACATGAACGCGACAACACGTGTCGTATGAACGCGACAGCACGTGCCACACGTGACAACACGTGCCACATGAACGCGATAACACGTGCCACATGAACGCGACAACACGTGCCGCATGAACGCGACAACACGTGCCGCATGAACGCGACAACACGTGCCACATGTGACAACACGTGCGCATGAACGCGACAGCACGTGCCACATGAACGCGACAACACGTGCCACATGTGACAACACGTGCCGCATGAACGCGACAACACGTGCCACATGAACATGACAACACGTGCCGCATGAACGCGACAACACGTGCCGCATGAACGCGACAGCACGTGCCACATGTGACAACACGTGCCACAATGAACGCGACAACACGTGCCGCATGAACGCGACAACACGTGCCACATGAACGCGACAACACGTGCCACACGAACGCGACAACATGTGCCACATGTGACAACACGTGCCGCATGAACGCGACAACACGTGCCACACGTGACAACACGTGCCACATGAACGCGACAACACGTGCCGCATGAACGCGACAACACGTGCCACATGAACGCGACAACACGTGCCACACGAACGCGACAACATGTGCCACATGAACGCGACAACACGTGCCACATGAACGCGACAACACGTGCCACATGAACGCGACAACACGTGCCGCATGAACGCGACAACACGTGCCACATGTGACAACACGTGCCACATGAACGCGACAGCACGTGCCACATGAATGCGACAACATGTGCCACATGAACGCGACAACACGTGCCGCATGAACGTGACAGCACGTGCCACATGTGAAAACACGTGCCGCATGAACGTGACAACACGTGTTACATGAACGCGACAACACGTGTTACATGAACGCGACAACACGTGCCACATGAACGCGACAACACGTGCCACATGTGACAACACGTGCCGCATGAACGCGACAACACGTGCCCCGTGATGTATGAGCACGTGCCCGGTGATCTGAGCAACAGCTTTAAAAGCGTATCCCGGCTTACCTCTGCCATTCTTGAGTGCACTTCTGCAGCACAAACACACACACAGACGCGCAGACGCGCGTGTAAGATTCATATCGGGAATACTTTTGATGATAATAATTACGACGAAGATGACAACAATCGTGATGGTACAGCGTCATTTTATACAGACGTCATCTTGGCCAATTAATCAACACCAGCACCAGCACCACCACCAACATGACCACCATCAACATCAACCACCACCAACAGCACCACCACCAGCAGCACCACCACCACCACCAGGATCACCATCACCACCACCATCACCACCACCAACATGACCACCACCAGCACCACCACCATCACCAGCACCACCACCATCACCACCACCAACATGACCACCATCAACATCAACCACCACCACCACCAGCACCACCACCACCAGCACCACCACCATCACCACCACCACCACCAGCACCACCACCAGCACCACCAGCACCACCACCAACATGATCAACATCAACCACCACCAGCACCACCACCACCAATTACTACCACCCCATCATCATAATAGAAGTGGGGGTAAGGGTGATGGGTGGGTAGGGGTGATGGGCAGGTGGGTGGGGGTGATGGGTGGGTAGGGGTGATGGGCGGGTGGGTGGGGGTGATGGGTGGGTGGGGGTGATGGGTGGGTGGGGGTGATGGGCAGGTGGGTGGGGGTGATGGGCGGGTGGGTGGGGGTGATGGGCGGGTGGGTGGGGGTGATGGGCGGGTGGGTGGGGGTGATGGGCGGGTGGGAGTGATGGGCGGGTGGGTGGGGGTGATGGGCAGGTGGGTGGGGGTGATGGGTGGGTGGGGGTGATGGGTGGGTGGGGGTGATGGGCGGGTGGGTGGGAGTGATGGGCGGGTGGGTGGGGGTGATGGGCGGGTGGGTGGGGGTGATGGGCGGGTGGTAGGTGGTGGCGATGGACGGGAGGGACGGGTTTGAGGTTTGGGGAGTTGTGGCGATGTGTGATGGTGGGCGGGGCGGGGGGGGTGGCGGCGGCGGCGGCGTTACACCAGGAGCGAGGGGCGAGTGACGGGCGAGTGACGGGCGAGCGACGGGCGAGCGACTGGCGAGTGACTGGCGAGCGACGGGCGAGTGACTGGCGAGTGACGGGCGAGTGACTGGCGAGCGACTGGCGAGTGACTGGCGAGCGACGGGCGATCGACTGGCGAGTGACGGGGCGAGCGACTGGTGAGCGACTGGCGAGTGACTGGCGAGCGACTGGCGAGCGACGGGCGAGCGACGGGCGAGCGACTGGCGAGTGACTGGCGAGCGACTGGCGAGCGACGGGGCGAGTGACTGGCGAGCGACGGGGCGAGTGACTGGCGAGTGACTGGCGAGTGACTGACGAGTGACTGGCGAGCGAGGGGTGAGTGACTGGCGAGCGACGGGGCGAGTGACTGGCGAGCGACTGGCGAGCGACTGGCGAGCGACGGGGCGAGCGAGGGGCGAGCGACGGGGCGAGTGACTGGCGAGCGACTGGCGAGTGACTGGCGAGCGACGGGGCGAGCGACTGGCGAGCGACGGGGCGAGCGAGGGGCGAGCGACGGGCGAGCGACGGGCGAGCGACTGGCGAGCGACGGGGCGAGCGAGGGGCGAGTGACGGGGCGAGCGAGGGGCGAGCGACGGGCGAGCGACTGGCGAGCGACGGGGCGAGTGACTGGCGAGCGACTGGCGAGCGACTGGCGAGTGACGGGGCGAGCGACGGGGCGAGCGACTGGCGAGCGACGGGGCGAGCGACGGGGCGAGCGAGGGGCGAGCGACGGGGCGAGCGAGGGGCGAGCGACGGGGCGAGCGACGGGGCGAGCGACGGGCGAGCGACTGGCGAGCGACTAGGCGAGCGACTGGCGAGTGACTGGCGAGCGACTGGCGAGCGACTGGCGAGCGACGGGCGAGCGACTGGCGAGAGACTGGCGAGCGAGGGGCGAGCGAGGGGCAAGCGAGGGGCGAGCGAGGGGCGAGTGACTGGCGAGCGACGGGCGAGCGACTGGCGAGCGACTGGCGAGCGAGGGGCGAGCGAGGGGCGAGCGACGGGACGAGCGACGGGGCGAGCGAGGGGCGAGCGACGGGGCGAGCGAGGGGGCGAGCGACGGGGCGAGCGAGGGGGCGAGCGACGGGGCGAGCGACGGGACGAGCGACTGACGAGCGACGGGCGAGCGACGGGGCGAGCGACGGGGCGAGCGACGGGGGCGAGCGACGGGGGCGAGCGACGGGGCGTACCAGCAGGAAGGCGGCGTGCCCCCGCGTGCCCTCGAGCCGAGCGACCGCCGCCAGGGCCGCTCGGACCCCTCCCAGCGCCTCCTGGCACCTCGCGAGGCCCCGGGCCGCCTGGGCCAAGCCGCGGTCGCGCTCGCGGTCCGTGGCACGCAGGGCCTCGTCCCGCTCGGCCGAGATGGCCCGCAGGAGCTCCTCGTACTTGCCCAGCAGGCGCGAGCGGGCCTCCTCCGCGCGCAGCTGCCGGAAAAAGGTTGCCCCACGCGGTCCAAAGCCACTCCTGCCGGCCGATGCGTGCAATGCGATATTTTGTTCCCGGGCGGTGGGTGTGAAACGTTATTTTTCGAGTTTGTTACGCCTCAAAAGTACGGATTTGTGGCTATTATTAGTAGTATTATTAGTAGTATTATTAGTAGTATTGTTGTTATTGTTGTTGTTGTTGTTATTATTCCCCCACAAGCTTCGCTTTTGCGACCAGGATTTTCAAGTGAAGGATTTTGACACAAATGCACGCCGCACGTTTGCTGGGCTTGGCTGTCTTCACTCCAACGCTGTCCTCTGGACAGTCCAGAGCCCTTCACCTGATGAGGGCCCACTTGTGTTGTGGCCGAAACGTCGTGATTTTTTGTTATTTTATTTTTTTACTCTACGTGACTTTGCCGAATAGAAGCAAAGAGTGTGGATCCTTGCAGTCACGAAAGCTTCAAATCTAGAATTGACGATGGGTACATTTCTAAATTTCACTGTCCTGGTCACAAAAGCAAAGTTTGTGGGGAATAATAATAAAAATAATCATAATGATAGCGATTTTCTGCACCTTTGAGGCATAAGCAAGCGGAAAATAACGCTACCCAGGGGGTGAATTATTTATATATCCATCGATCGATCGGTCGATCAATCGATTTGTTTCCCCCCGCAATTATTTTGCGGCTATCAGAAATGACGAAGACGCGAGAATGGGCCTTTTTGTATTATTTTTTTTTACACGGGCATACAAAGACGCACACACACACACAGGAAAACAAAGGAAGTCCCCTAGATGCGGCTGCTCGACCCGAGATGTTAATGCTTTCGTCACGGTGTTGTCGGCGTCGCTTAGCGAAATAGCACAAGACAGCAAAGCTGTCACGTCCATGGACAGGCGGGGCGGGGGGGGGGGATGAGAGGGAATTTAGACTTAAAAATTTCGTGACTTGCAGGAATTCATATTGTTGGTTCTTTCGGTAAAGTCACGTCGACGAGAGAAAATAAAAATAAAAAAGTAAAAAAATAATAAAAGCAAATAAAAAGCCCCCACACGAAGTTTTGATCGCAACACAAAGCACAGGAGAGGGAGGCAAAGCAAGGGATGAGTTGGAGGCGGGGCCAGGGAATGTTGTAGGCGGGGCCAGGGTAGGTTGTAGGAGGGGCCAGAGATGAGTTGGAGGAGGGGCCAGGGGGAAGGTTGGAGGAGGGGCCAGGGATGAGTTGGAGGCGGGGCCAGGGAAGGTTGGAGGCGGGCCAGGGAAGGTTGGAGGAGGGGCCAGGGAAGGTTGGAGGCGGGGCCAGGGAAGGTTGGAGGAGGGGCCAGGGATGAGTTGGAGGCGGGGCCAGGGAAGGTTGGAGGTGGGGCCAGGAAAGGGTGGAGGAGGGGCCAGGGAATGTTGGAGGCGGGGCAAGGGATTAGTTGGAGGAGGGGCCAGGGATGAGTTGGAGGCAGGGCCAGGGAAGGTTGGAGGCGGGGGCAGGGATGAGTTGGAGGAGGGGCCAGGGAAGGTTGGAGGAGGGGCCAGGGATGAGTTGAGAGGAGGGGCCAGGGATGAGTTGGAGGAGGGGCCAGGGAAGGTTGGAGGAGGGGCCAGGGATGAGTTGGAGGAGGGGCCAGGGAAGGTTGGAGGAGGGGCCAGGGATGAGTTGAGAGGAGGGGCCAGAGAAGGTTAGAGGAGGGGCCAGGGAAGGTTGGAGGAGGGGCCAGGGATGAGTTGGAGGAGGAGCCAGGGAAGGTTGGAGGCGGGGCCAGGGAAGGTTGGAAGAGGGGCAAGGGAAGGGTGGAGGAGGGGCCAGGGAAGGGTGGAGGAGGGGCCAGGTATGAGTTGGAGGAGGGGCCAGGGATGAGTTGGAGGAGGGGCCAGGGAAGGTTGGAGGAGGGGCCAGGGATGAGTTGGAGGAGGGGCCAGGGAAGGTTGGAGGAGGGGCCAGGGATGAGTTGGAGGAGGGGCCAGGGAAGGTTGGAGGAGGGGCCAAGGAAGGTTCGAGGAGGGGCCAGGGAAGGTTGGAGGAGGGGCCAGAGATGAGTTGGAGGAGGGGCCAGGGAAGGTTGGAGGAGGGGCCAGGGAAGGTTGGAGGAGGGGCCAGGGAAGGTTGGAGGAGGGGCCAGGGAAGGTTGGAGGCAGGGCCAGGGAAGGATGGAAGAGGGGCAAGGGAACGGTGGAGGAGGGGCCAGGTATGAGTTGGAGGAGGGGCCAGAGATGAGTTGGAGGAGGGGCCAGGGATGAGTTGGAGGAGGGGCCAGGGAAGCTTGGACGCGGGGCCAGGGAAGGTTGGAGGAGGGGCAAGGGATGAGTTGGAGGAGGGGCCAGGGAAGGTTGGAGGAGGGGCCAGGGATGAGTTGGAGGAGGGGCCAGGGAAGGTTGGAGGAGGGGCCAAGGAAGGTTCGAGGAGGGGCCAGGGAAGGTTGGAGGAGGGGCCAGAGATGAGTTGGAGGAGGGGCCAGGGAAGGTTGGAGGAGGGGCCAGGGAAGGTTGGAGGCAGGGCCAGGGAAGGTTGGAAGAGGGGCAAGGGAAGGGTGGAGGAGGGGCCAGGGAAGGTTGGAGGAGAGGCCAGGGAAGATTGGAGGAGGGGCCAGGGAAGGTTGGAGGAGGGGCCAGGGAAGGTTGGAGGCAGGGCCAGGGAAGGTTGGAGGAGGGGCCAGGGAAGGTTGGAGGAGGGGCCAGGGAAGGTTGGAGGAGGGGCCAGGGAAGATTGGAGGAGGGGCTAGGGAAGGTTGGAAGAGGGGCCAGGGAAGATTGGAGGAGGGGCCAGGGAAGGTTGGAGGCGGGGCCAGGGAAGGTTGGAGGAGGGGCCAGGGAAGGTTGGAGGAGGGGCCAGGGAGAGAGAGGGCGAGGTGGGGGAGGACAAAATGGCGGCCGAGAGTAGGAGCTTCACGTGCCAATAGAGAGAGACGGGGCCCCTTCCCGTGTGTTAAGCCTCTGTGCTTCTTGTTATACTACAATCACCTACACCACCACTAGTACAATCACCTGCACCACCACTACCACCATCACCTACACTATCACTACCACCATCACCTACACCACCTCTACTACCATCACCTACACTACCACTAGTACCATCACCTACACCACCACTAGTACCATCACCTACACCACCACTATTACCATCACCTACACCACCACTAGTACCATCACCTTCACTATCACTACTACCATCACCTACACTATCACTACCACCATCACCTACACCACCTCTACTACCATCAACTCCATCACTATTACAATCACCTACACCACCACTAGTACCATCACCTACACCACCACTACTACCATCACCTACACCACTACTAGTACCATCACCTACACCACCACTAGTACCATCACCTACACCACCACTACTACCATCACTATCACTACTACCATCACCTACACCACCACTATTACAATCACCTACACCATCACTACCACCATCACCTACACCACCACTACTACCATCACCTACACCACCACTACCACCATCACCTACACTATGACTACCACCATCACCTACACTATTACTACCACCATCACCAACACCACCACTACCACCATCACCTACACTATCACTACCACCATCACCTTCACCATCACTACCACCATCACCTACACAATCACTACCACCATCACCTACACCATCACTACCACCATCACCTACACCATCACTACTACCATCACCTACACTATCACTACCACCATCACCTACACTATCACTACTACCATCACCTACACCACCTCTACTACCATCACCTACATCACTATTACAATCACCTACACCACCACTAGTACCATCACCTACACCACCACTACTACCATCACCTACACCACTACTAGTACCATCACCTACACCACCACTAGTACCATCACCTACACCACCACTACTACCATCACTATCACTACTACCATCACCTACACCACCACTATTACAATCACCTACACCATCACTACCACCATCACCTACACCACCACTACTACCATCACCTACACCACCACTACCACCATCACCTACACTATGACTACCACCATCACCTACACTATTACTACCACCATCACCAACACCACCACTACCACCATCACCTACACTATCACTACCACCATCACCTTCACCATCACTACCACCATCACCTACACAATTACTACCACCATCACCTACACCATCACGACCACCATCACCTACACCATCACTACTACCATCACCTACACTATCACTACCACCATCACCTACACTATCAATACTACCATCACCTACACTATCACCACTACCACCATCACCTATACTATCAACAACAACCGCCATTCGCCACTAAGTGGCAGTGACGTCACCACGAAGCTTGTGCCAGGCTATGTGCACCTTGAGGCCACTTGAAGTGTCGAACGCCCACGGGCAGGAGTTCACGGGGCAGACCCAAGTGCCACGGGTCGACTGACTGGGATGACTGAGATGACTGGCTGATGCACCACCTCTGCCCCCTACTGTGCCAACCTGCTGTGCTTTAGCCACCCGGCGCTCCGCTCGTTGTTGTGAGCGTCGCTCCTCCACCCTCCGTTGTTGTTGGAGGGCGGCTACCTCTAACTGCCCAGTAGCATCCTTCACGAGCCTCCTCCACAGAGCCCGATCTTGACACTGCTGGTACCGGTCATCGGCAAGTCCACTCAGCTCCACATCCTCCTGTACCACATCACTCCATCTCTTCTCGAGCCCGTGCCGCGCCCGTTTAGCCCCCTCAATCCGGCCGAACAAAAGCTGTTTCGGCATGCGGTGGCTGGGCATGCGGGCTACATGACCCAGCCATCGCAGCCTTGCCTGCCGGAGGAGCTCACCGATGGGACCTTGGGACCATCACCGACACTACCACTACTACCATCACCGACACCATCACCACCACCATCACCTACACCATCACCACTACTACCATCACCTACACCATCACCACTACTACCATCACCGACACCATCACCACCACCATCACCTACACCATCACCACTACTACCATCACCTACACCATCACCACTACTACCATCACCGACACCATCACCACCACCATCACCTACACCATCACCACTACTACCATCACCGACACCATCACCACCACCATCACCTACACCATCACCACTACTACCATCACCTACACCATCACCACTACTACCATCACCGACACCATCACCACCACCATCACCTACACCATCACCACTACTACCATCACCTACACCATCACCACTACTACCATCACCGACACCATCACCACCACCATCACCTACACCATCACCACTACTACCATCACCGACACCATCACCACCACCATCACCTACACCATCACCACTACTACCATCACCTACACCATCACCACTACTACCATCACCGACACCATCACCACCACCATCACCTACACCATCACCACTACTACCATCACCTACACCATCACCACTACTACCATCACCGACACCATCACCACCACCATCACCTACACCATCACCACTACTACCATCACCTACACCATCACCACTACTACCATCACCGACACCATCACCACCACCATCACCTACACCATCACCACTACTACCATCACCGACACCATCACCACCACCATCACCTACACCATCACCACTACCAACATCACCCACACTATCACCACTACCACCATCACCAACACCATCACCACTACTACCATCACCGACACCATCACTACCACCATCACCTACACTATCACCACTACCACCATCACCCACACTATCACCACTACCATCATCACCAACACTATCACCACTACTACCATCACTTACACTATAACCACTACCACCATCACCTACACTATCACCACTACCACCATCACCTACACCATCACTACCACCATCACCTACACTATCACTACTACCATCAATTACACTATCACCACTACTACCATCACCGACACCATCACCACCACCATTACCGACACCATCACTACCACCATCACCTACACTATCACTACTACCATCAATTACACTATCACCACTACTACCATCACCGACACCATCACTACCACCATCACCTACACTATCACCACTACCACCATCACCTACACTATCACCACTACCACCATCACCTACACCATCACTACCACCATCACCTACACTATCACTACTACTATCAATTACACTATCACCACTACTACCATCACCGACACCGTCACTACCACCATCACCTACACTATCACCACTACCACCATCACCCACACTATCACCACTACCACCATCACCAACACTATCACCACTACTACCATCACTTACACTATAACCACTACCACCATCACCTACACTATCACCACTACCACCATCACCTACACCATCACTACCACCATCACCTACACTATCACTACTACCATCAATTACACTATCACCACTACTACCATCACCGACACCATCACCACCACCATCACCTACACCATCACCACTACTACCATCACCTACACCATCACCACTACTACCATCACCGACACCATCACCACCACCATCACCTACACCATCACCACTACCACCATCACCCACACTATCACCACCAGCACCATCACCAACACCATCACCACTACTACCATTACCGACACCATCACTACCACCATCACCTACACTATCACCACTACCACCATCACCGACACCATCACCACCACCATCACCTACACCATCACCACTACTACCATCACCAACACCATCACCACCACCATCACCTACACCATCACCACTACCACCATCACCCACACTATCACCACTACCACCATCACCAACACCATCACCACTACTACCATTACCGACACCATCACTACCACCATCACCTACACTATCACCACTACCACCATCACCCACACTATCACCACTACCACCATCACCAACACTATCACCACTACTACCATCACTTACACTATAACCACTACCACCATCACCTACACTATCACCACTACCACCATCACCTACACCATCACTACCACCATCACCTACACTATCACTACTACCATCAATTACACTATCACCACTACTACCATCACCGACACCATCACCACCACCATCACCTACACTATCACTACCACCATCACCTACACCATCACCACTACTACCATCACCGACACCATCACCACCACCATCACCTACACTATCACTACCACCATCACCTACACCATCACCACTACTACCATCACCGACACCATCACCACCACCATCACCTACACTATCACTACCACCATCACCTACACCATCATCACCACCATCACCGACACCATCACCACCACCATCACCTACACCATCACCACTACTACCATCACCGACACCATCACCACCACTACTACCGTTACCTACAGGGAGAGAGAGAGCGGGGGGGGGAGAGAGGGAGGAGGAGAGAGATGAGGACTTCACCACTTCCATTGCCTTCTCACTGTTCGTCTTTGCAACAGGGTTCGTAATAACGCAGCGCTAACCTCTGCACCACCGCTCCCCATGAAACCACCACCACCACCACCAACAACAACAACAGCGACTCCCCGTCTCACCTTAAATGCGTCCGAGGAGCGCCCGGCACCGTCCACGTACGAAGCCATCCACGTCTCGTGCGTCAGCAGCGTCTCCTTAAACGAGCCCAGCTGATCCTGCATCAAAGACAGAGGTCGCCCGTGTGGCCTCCGACAGGGCTGTTGGGGGCAAGTGCTGCTCGCGAGTAGCAGCAGCAGCAGCAGCGCCTATGAAGGCCGGCATTGTGGCACGCGAGGTGGTGGGTTGCCAGCATGACGCACGCCCGCCTTGGTCTCCCACCGACCCATCCATCCACCAACCCATCCACCAACCCACCCACCCAACAATCCACCAACCCACCCACCAACCCACCCACCCACCCACCAACCAACCAATCCACCCACCCACCCACCAACCCACCCACCCACCCACCAACCCACCCACCAACCAACCCACCCACCAACCAACCGACCCACCCACCCATCCACCAACCCACCCACCCACCAACCCACCCACCCACTCACCCACCCATCCGCCAACCCACCCACCCATCTGCCAACCCACCCGCCCATCCGCCAACCCACTCACCCATCCACCCACTCATCCAACCACCCGCCCACTCACCCTTCCACCCACCCACCCTTCCACCCACCCACCCTTCCACCCACCCACCCTTCCACCCACCCACCCTTCCACCCAGCAGTCCACCCGCCCGCCCACCCACCCACCATTCTGTCTGCATGCTCCTGGTGGATGGGCACCAGCTCGTGCTGGTCGTGCAGGGTGGTGCAGGTGGTGCCGCACAGCAGCTGCGAGTCGCTGCGGCAGAAGAGCTCCACGTGGCGCCCGTGCTCCCTGCACTCGTGCGTGCCCAGCCCCCCAATGGGGGGCACCAGCTCGTGCGCCTTCAGGTGGGGCACCTGCACCGGGAGGGGACGCGGGGGGGGGGGGTGTTCGTTTAATAAAAAACAAACTAAGAAACCGAACAAGGCGGAGCGAGCCGCGGGGTGGTCAAATGGACGGGCGAGTTGGTGGATGGATGGTTTAATGGATGGGTGGGCGGTTGGGTGAGTGGGTGAATGAGTGAGCGGATGAGTGGCTGGACCGGCACGTGAGTGGCTGAATGAGTGGCTGGGTGGGCGGGCACGTGAGTGGCTGAATGAGTGGCTGGGTGGGCACGTGAGTGGCTAAATGAGTGAGTAGATTGAGTGGCTAAATGAGTGAGTAGATTGAGTGGCTGGGTGGGCACGTGAGTGGCTGAATGAGTGAGTGGCTGAGTGGGCACGTGAGTGGCTAAATGAGTGAGTAGATTGAGTGGCTAAATGAGTGAGTAGATTGAGTGGCTGGGTGGGCACGTGAGTGGCTGAATGAGTGAGTGGCTGGGCGGGCACGTGAGTGGCTGAATGAGTGAGTGGCTGGGTGGGCGGGCACGTGAGTGGCTGAATGAGTGAGTGGCTGGGTGGGCGGGCACGTGAGTGGCTGAATGAGTGAGTGGCTGGGCGGGCACGTGAGTGGCTGAATGAGTGAGTAGATTCAGTGGCTGGGCGGGCACGTGAGTGGCTGAATGAGTGGCTGGGTGGGCGGGCACGTGAGTGGCTGAATGAGTGAGTGGCTGGGTGGGCACGTGAGTGGCTGAATGAGTGAGCGGGTGAGTGGCTGGGTGGGCACGTGAGTGGCTGAATGAGTGAGTAGATTGAGTGTCTGGGCGGGCACGTGAGTGGCTGAATGAGTGAGTGGCTGGGCGGGCACGTGAGTGGCTAAATGAGTGAGTAGATTGAGTGGCTAAATGAGTGAGTAGATTGAGTGGCTAAATGAGTGAGTAGATTGACTGGCTGGGTGGGCACGTGAGTGGCTAAATGAGTGAGTAGATTGACTGGCTGGGTGGGCACGTGAGTGGCTGAATGAGTGAGTAGATTGACTGGCTGGGTGGGCACGTGAGTGGCTGAATGAGTGAGCGGGTGAGTGGCTGGGTGGGCACGTGAGTGGCTGAATGAGTGAGTAGATTGAGTGTCTGGGCGGGCACGTGAGTGGCTGAATGAGTGAGTGGCTGGGCGGGCACGTGAGTGGCTAAATGAGTGAGTAGATTGAGTGGCTAAATGAGTGAGTAGATTGAGTGGCTAAATGAGTGAGTAGATTGACTGGCTGGGTGGGCACGTGAGTGGCTAAATGAGTGAGTAGATTGACTGGCTGGGTGGGCACGTGAGTGGCTGAATGAGTGAGTTGCTGGGTGGGCACGTGAGTGGCTGAATGAGTGAGTGGCTGGGTGGGCGGGCACGTGAGTGGCTGAATGAGTGAGTAGATTGAGTGGCTGGGCGGGCACGCGAGTGAGTGGGTAAATTACTGGGCGAGTAGGTGAGCGAGCGGGTGAGCGACCGTTATCCGGGCGAGCAGGCGAGTGACCGACCGGCCGAGCGTCACCACCGACATCACAACCCCCTCCCTCACCCCCTCACCCCCTCCCTCCCTCACCCCCTCCCACCCCCACACACACAAACACCACCTGCCGGTGAGGCGCCAGGTGCGCCTCGCAGAAGGACATCTCGCAGCGAGCGCAGCTCTTGACGGCCGGGCGGGCGCCGCCCGGGCAGCGGTGGCACGGGACCACGCCCGCCGTCGCCGCGGCGACGCCCCCGTCGTAGACCCTGGCGTCCGCGTCACGGCGGGGCTGGCGGGCGGCCGGCCGCGCCCTGCGCACCTGGGCCACGAGGTTGGCCACGAGGATGCTCTTGCGCAAGTCGGGCTTGGCGGGGTAGGCGCGGCGGCACTCGGGGCACGTGAAGCCGCCGCGCGCCGCCGACTCCGTGCCCCAGTGGCGGTCGATGCACGCCGAGCAGAAGGTGTGGCCGCAGTTGAGGGTCACGGGGTCGACGAAGAGTTCGAGGCACACGGGGCACGTGAAGTCCCGCTCCTCCATGCTGCCGGGTTCCAGCATCGCCCGGTGCCCGGTGCCCGGTCGCTCGCTGCTGAGCCTGGCGGGGTCGATTGCGTTTTGGAGGGGGGCGGGGGGCGGGGGGGGGGGGGGGGCCCTGGGTGTTTGTTTTCTCGCCTAGGAGTCGGGGGGCGGGTGGACAACGAACTCATCATTTGAGCATTTCACTGTGTCATGACTAAGCCAAGCGTTATTAGGCACTGCATATTAACAGGTCAACATAATGTGCTTACATTGTAGATAGTTCATTAACTGTGTGACTAACCCAACCGTTTATAGGTACTTCATATTATCAGGTCAACATAATGTGCTTACATTATATATATAGTTCATTAACTGTGACTAACCCAACCGTTAATAGGTACTTCATATTATCAGGTCAACATAATGTGCTTACATTATATATAGTTTATTAACTGTGACTCACCCAAGCGTTATTAGGCACTGCATATTAACAGATCAGCATGATGTACTTACATTATAAATAGTTCATTAACTGTGACTCACCCAAGCGTTATTAGGCACTGCATATTAACAGATCAACATAATGCGCTTACATTATATATAGTTCATTAACTGTGACTAACCCAACCGTTATTAGGTTCATAGTTCATAGTTAGTTCATAGTTCATTTATTTGGTATAGCCCTGTGAGCCATTCGGCTCTTGAATCGGGTGCAACCGCAACAAACAAAAAAACATGAACAAGAAAACATCTTAAAGTGATTATGTGACTGTGCAAACAGAAAATACAGGAAAAAAATCTAAAATATTCCTGAAATAGCACCGTACACCAACGCTGTGTGCAAAAAATCCCAGTGGGATGCAAGTTAAACAACAACAACAACAACCACAAGACAACTAAGATTAAGGACATCAGTCTAACTCCGTATACAATAAACAAAAACATGGCCAAAACAAAAAAAAGTTTTCGAAATCACCAAACTAAAAGCCATAAATGCAATGTAACAGTGATCATAGGGACTGTGACCAAATTTTTAACAATAAACTACGTAAATAAATTATAACACCAAAATTTAGAGCCATATTTTAGGCCACTGAATAGCAGTGGCAGCTAGGGTTGTACAACTCCTCTAGAGCAGTTTTGAGTGAAGATCTCATAGGTATCGATTCAAGTTGCAGTTTATTGGCAATAGCATTCCAGACCCTGGGGGCATCAATAGCAACGGCCCTTCCTCCAGTTTTTGTACGGCAATAGGGAATGTGAAGCTGGTAGATGAGCGAAGACCTGAGGTCAAATTTGTTCTTTGAAACAGAGAGGAGATCCAGTAGGTAGTCTGCGGATTTTTTTGTAAGTACATCGTGAATAAATAAGATCTGGTGCACAAGCCGTCGAACATTAAGAGATGTTTAAGTTTGACCCAATGTAGAGATCACAGTGGTGAGTCCTATATGGGCAGTTCAATGCAAATCTTAAGGCCGAGTGATAGATGGAATCAAGCTTTTTCAGTACAGTACTTGGGGCTGATTTATACACGATGTCACAGTAGTCAAGTAGAGGCAGTATGGGAGCTTTTATCAATTCCAAATGGAAAATTGGGGGGAAGCAGTGCTTGTGTCGATACAGAGAACCAATTTTTATTTTTGTCTTTTTACCAATATAATCAATGTGATCTTCAAAATTAAGTTTTGAATCCAGGATGACCCCAAGATACTTATAGATCTTAACTTGCTCTATTTGATAATTATTCAAGGAATGTAATTGGGGAAAAATAACTTCCTGCTTTAGTCCCGGTGAGAAGCATAGCACCACCTTGGTTTTGGAGGTATTCAAGACTAGTTTAAGAGAAACTAGCTGATGTTGTAGTTTGTTGAAATCACCCTGGACCTTAGCAATCACGTCATCCGGAGAGCGGCCAGCAGTAATCAGTATCGTGTCATCTGCAAAAAGATTAACCCTGGAATGATCCAGGTCAGTGCCCAAGTCATTGACATAAAGAGAGAACAAGAGGGGGCCGAGGATGGAACCCTGTGGAACCTCTTTTGTTATCTTAACACTGTTTGACCTCCAACCATCTGTGAATACAGTTTGGGTGCGAGAAAATTGGTAATTTTTTTAACCATTGTACTTTGTTTTAGGAAAAACCGAGGCAACTTAGTTTACTAAGCAGGGTGCTGTGGTCTACTGTATCAAAAGCTTTGGAAAGGTCAAGAAAAAGACAGGCACAGTACTGCTTATTATCAAGGCTATTGTAAATTTGATTCAAAGAGTCTAATGCAGCAGATGTGGTGCTGTATTTTTTTCGGAACCCAGATTGTTTTAGATGTAGTAGATTGTTGGTGGACAGGAAACTGCTAATTTGGTAGTTCAATAATTTTTCAAAAACTTTCATCAATGGGGACAAAATTGAGATAGGTCGGTAGTTATTGGGATCATCTTTAGGGCCCCCTTTGTGAAGTGGACGGACATAGGAATGTTTCCATTCTAGAGGAACTGATGCTTCTTTGATGGACAGGTTGAAAATATGGGCTATAGGTTTGTATATTAGGTGACCAACAGTTAGTAGAGCAAAGACGGGAAAACTATTTGCTCCGGTAGAGGAGGTACCTTTGAGGCAGGACAGTTGTTTCAGAACATTACTTTCGTGGATTGGTTGGAAACTAAATTCGTTTAATGTTTGGACAGGGGTGTAGGAATTTGCAGGAGCAGGGGTGACTCCCAATACATTATCAAAAAGATTACCAGCTCCAGAAAAATGAAGGTTAAAATTGTCAACTATTTTTTGGGGATCTGAAAAATATTCCCCATTTCGGTTAAGCTCAACGGGCATATTATCTGTTTTTGATTGCTTTTTCGATAGATTTGATTGTTTTCCAAAAAATCCTGGCATTTCCATGTGATTCCAGGAGAGTGGAAGAAAAGTAGGCATTTTTTGCATGCCGTATTTTTTTTACACATCTATTCCTTAAAATCCTGTATTCCAGCCAGTCATTTACTAAATTACTTTTCTGAGCAAATGCCCAAGCCTTGTCCCTAGTTTTCATGAGCTTTGTAATCAAAGGATCATACCATGGTGGGCGGTTGCCTTTTATTTTAAATCTAACCAACGGAGCATGTTTGTTAAGAATTTGGAGAAACGTGTAATTGAAAGTCTCCCAAGCCGTAGTCAGGTTGGGGATATCACAGACCTTATCAGTATCCGAGTGAAGCACATCATTTGTAAATGCCTGAGTGCTGAAGTGCCTCAAAGAGTGCTTCTCAACAATTTTAGGGGGGCTTTGGGTCTGGTTATTGCCCAGAACACCAGTCAATGCGAAATTGTGAGGGGCATTTGTCAATAGTACGTCAAGCAGAGATGACTGTCCCGGATTTTTTAGGTTGGGTCTTGTGGGGACATTTATTAATTGAAACAGGTTAAATTCATCTGTAAAATGTGTGGCCACGGTACTTTATATTACTTCATATTATCAGGTCAACATAATGTGCTTACATTATATATAGTTCATTAACTGTGACTAACCCAACCGTTAATAGGTACTTCATATTATCAGGTCAACATAATGTGCTTACATTATATATAGTTCATTAACTGTGACTAACCCAACCGTTAATAGGTACTTCATATTATCAGGTCAACATAATGCGCTTACATGATATATAGTTCATTAACTGTGTGACTAACCCAACCGTTAATAGGTACTTCATATTATCAGGTCAGCATAATGCGCTTACATTATATATAGTTCATTAACTGTGTGACTAACCCAACCGTTAATAGGTACTTCATATTATCAGGTCAACATAATGCGCTTACATTAAAAATGTTAATTAACTCTGACTAACCCAAAACAATACGAGCTACTGCATAATCTAAGATTAACATGATGTACACGCATTATGAATAAACCTACTGATAATAGGTATCGCATATTCCCAGATTAACATACTGTGCACACATTAAGTATGTTCATTGACTGTTACGGCCCCAACCGATATAATAGGTACGGCATCTTCTGAGATGAACATGATGAGTTGTAACTTCTACGACTGCCTTAACCCCTCCTCCCTCTGGTCTTCACACCTCATAGTGATGCCATCCCCTTGACTCCATTTAAAACCGAAGCAGGAAAACTTCTTCAGAATTCTGGCTACCGCCTGAGGATGCCGGCTGTTGTTGTTTCTGTAATTGTTGCTGTCACGTTACTCGAATTGTAAATGTGTTGTAGTGGGTTTTAACTCTCTATCACACAACCGGTGAAGTGCTGAACTAGTAACTAAATGGCCACGTTTTGTTTACGTGACAGACCCCTTAACTAATTGGCTGTGTCACGCTACTCGGAGACTAAAAACCCACAACGTTTACACTTCAAGTCCGACGTTTCGCCAGCAAGCCCACAACGTTTACAATTCAACATATGAACCGGTCAGTGCTGAACTAGTAACGAATTGGCACCGCGTTTTGTTGACGTGACAAACCACTCAAGGCCGTAATTATAATAAATATTGGTGGGGGGGGGGGGGGGGAACCCACGACCTCCTGTACACCAGGCGAGGGAGTTAACATCTCCTAGCCACCGTGATGATGATGGTGGTGGAACCCACGACCTCCTGTACACCAGGCGAGGTAGTCAACATATCCTGGCCACCGTGATGATGATGGTGGTGGAACCCACGACCTCCTGGACACCAGGCGAGGTAGTCAACATCTCCTAGCCACCGTGATGATGATGGTGGTGGAACCCACGACCTCCTGTACACCAGGCGAGGTAGTCAACATCTCATAGCCACCGTGATGATGATAGTGGTGGTGGAACCCACAACCTGCTCTAGACCAGGTGAGGTAGTCAACATCTCCTAGCCACCGTGATGATGATGATGGTGGAACCCACGACCTCCTGTACACCAGGCGAGGTAGTCAACATCTCCTAGCCACCGTGATGATGATGGTGGAACCCACGACCTCCTGTACACTGGGCGAGGTGGTCAACATCTCCTAGCCACCGTGATGGTGATGGAGGTGGGGGAACCCACGACCTCTTGTACACCAGGTGAGGTAATCAACATTTCCTAGCCACCGAGATGA